CAAGCCATAACTTTTCATGCAAGAATGTAAATGCAAAAGAGACAGCTCGCAAATCTCCTGAACCAATGGGCAGAGAAAGGATGAATTTGTGGTTTACTGCCCTGAATTTACATCTTCAGCAAATGACTGAAAAGGTAGCTTTGTTCCGACAAGCTTATAGTTTTTTTTCCCTTCTGATCAACATAAGACTGACAGAGAGACCCCAGGAGAGGCAGATAAGAACATTAATTGCACCAGACTACCATTCATAGCATAAAGAAAACTAAACTGGTTGATCCCTAGGGACCTAGTATTTCTCAGGATGGAGTTTCCAAGTCCAACCTTCAGGCCTTTGACAAACTTCAGTCAAAATGTAGTACAAAGCTACAGGGATGGGGGCTGGGAGATAGACATGATGTGCATTATCAGAGCATAGGAATATTTATGATACATTTTATTTTTTTCAATTAATGATCTTTTCTTTCCGCCCATCTGCCCCTAATCTGAAAAAAAGAAAGATGAAATCCTTGTAACAATTATGAGCAGTGAAGCAAAACAAATACTATAGTAATATTTTGAATTGTTGTATGCTACTGATGACAGTAATATTTGTAGAAGGACCACATCAGTTAGTCTAAATGATTACCTTTGAATATTTTATAATATTTTCTTTTGTCAATTGTTATTACCAGCCAATATTTTTCATAAATTCTGCTTTCTAGTTTTGATCTTTTGAATATACTAATGTTGATTGATTGTAAAAGAGTTAGTTGCAGAGCCCTAAGGACAACTGGAGCTTTGCTCTGGGGCAGGAAATTTAGAGGGTGTCAATTTCATCATTAGGCTCAACATGAAAGTGGTGATAGTCATCCTAGAAAATCTTTCCTCTCCTACTTATCGCTTCCCCAGGGGTGGCAGATTTGTCCTGTTCTATCCTTCCTTCCTCCTGCAGTGTAGAAACCTCTTGGTTTCCTGGGAAAAGGAAGTTCACCCCAAATGAGCTTCTCTTCCCTAGATTTGTCCCAAGCACAAAAATCTCCAGGTTACAATTATTTAGTTGTATTAACAATTAAGTATATTTCGGTGGGGTGGTGGGGGCAGGGAGAGAGTCTGGACCCTTGATTTCATTAGTGAAGAACTCTACAAGTTGAATATTCCTTCCACCAAATCACAGCTCCTCTGTAACATACATTCTTAGAGGACGGGGTGGGACTCTAAGATGGTTAAGCAATTCCCCCCAGGTTATATGACTAGTGTATGTCAGAGCTGAACTTGAATCCAAGTGTTCTTAATACCATAGCTAGTTCTCTGTCTACTAGGTCTTGTTATCTCTCAATTAGGCTCACATACGCTATGCAAAAGAATCAGGTTACATTTACAATTACTCATTATTTCCTGACCCATACTTTCCCTGTTCGCCCTATTCCTTATAAGTTTAGCAACTCCTCTTCCCAAAATGAATAAAGTATACTTTTAATGACATATCAGGCACTTCATATACCATTGTTTATAGGATCATAGAAACATAGATTTAGAGCTGGAAGGGATCTGAGAGACCATTTAGTCCATTCTCCCCATTTCATAGATGAAGAAACTAAGGTTCGGTTTGAACCCAGGTCCTCTGAGTCTAAATCCAGTTCTCTTTCGATTGTTTCAAGAATACCAGATGACTTTATGACTGGAGCCTTCAGAAATCTGCCACCCAGCATCTTTGATTGACTATATAAGCACACACAGAAGGCAAGTAGCAATGAAGGTCCATTATAAAGAGTTACTTGCTTCTCTTTCCTTCCTCTTTTAGAAATATCAAGAAAATATTTAAAATTATCCTAATCTAAAGCCTTCCTACTAATCTTAAATAAAGTCTCTTTAACTATCTAACCCAAAACAATATCCTGATCTCATCTCTCTGATAAGCCCAAGGACTCTTCTCTCCAAATAATTAGGGCAGGGGTTAGACAAAGACAATGGGCACTAAATTTAATGAAGAGTGTTAACCTCTTTTTTCATGCCCAGAAGGATTAGAGTAATCTCCAACTAAGACTGGCTTTCTTTACATAGTGTCCACAGATCTCTAACAGGTCCATAGGTAGACATTGGAGGAGAAAATGTTATTTTCACTAACCTCCAACTGAAAACTGGCATTTCCTCCAATAATGATTTAAAAAAAAAAAGAGAACATTTTTCTGAGGTGTCCTTGGCTTTATCAGCCTGCCAAAGGAGTCTCACACACACACACACACACACACACACACACACACACACACACACACACAATCTTCAGAACCTCCTGCCTAAAGGGAAGGAAGAAGTCTTTTTAATTATTTGGTTAATGGTAGTATTGACTAGTTGGAGAGTGGAATCTTTGAAGGGAGGAGTCAAAGAGGGATTTAATGGTTTTAGGAATTAAATGGAAAATAAACAAAAAAGGAAAATAATTCTTCAAGGATGAATGAAAAGAAAATAGTTAGCTGAACTTTTACCCCGAACTCTGTTAAGATGCTTTATAATATTGTCAAATTTTGTCTGTTTTCCAGGAATGCTATAATTGGAACTATGAATTTGCAGAGGAAAAAGAGAGATTTCAGAGTTACATTTGGTTTTATCTCTAAGAAGAAATCCTTAGATTAGAATAATCTAAAATGAATAATAAAGCATTTCTAGCAGACATGTGTCTACTGAATTGTTATATATATAGGATGCCTTATGCCTATTAGGTTTGATTTTTTTTTTTTTGAGAAAATCATAGGATCAAAGAGGTAAAAGTATCTTTTAGGGTATCTATTTACTGACCAATCCCCTCAATTGCACATAACTTTGGTAATGTCAGTGGATCCTAAGACAGACAGATATGTTAGTTTCTGGCCTGAATTTGGTTTCTTTAGGTCTGGTTTTTTGGTTTTTTTTTTTGCTTCCATTTTTTACTTTGCAGTGATCATATAGATGTAATTGAAATTGTATTCATCTTTGTTTTGATGTCAGAAATAGGGACCTTGAAATCTCATGTGCCAAAAATAGGGTAAATATTTTTCATAACATTGAGAGAGGTTATCCAAATTTGGTTCAGCCTCATGGTACTAAAAATGGAAGGGAAAAACCAAGTATAAAGAAAACTTTTATTCACTTAAGAAGTAGATCCAGTATCTTCAATATGGTTTAAAAAGTTCCATTCTGCTTGATATCCATTAAATACAGCATATTAGTTCATCAGGACATCTTCATTTTCAGGCATAATATGAGAAAGCACATAAAACTTGAGTTTCCTTTCCTAACTGAGAATTAGTAGTGGAAGGAGGAATTATGTTATGGCAGATGTTTGCTGCAAGAGTTAATAGCAGCAGTCAACTGCTAATTAAGCATTTATTAAATACCTACTGTGTTCTAGACATGGCAAAAGATAGTTCTTGCCTTCAAGGATCTTACAGCTCCTGGAATACCATGTAAATGTCATTTCTTAAGGTTGAACTAAAAACCGTTTTTTTCTGAGAATTGAATTATAGTAAGTGTCGATATTACATTGGTAGAGGGAGTTTCCTTGATAGGAAAGCAATCAGCCAATAAACTCTCAAGTCAGGTGTAAAAAAAAAAAGTTACAATAAGGCCATGCAGAAGGAATCACTAGGGATAGCTGAAGGTTATCTAAATGTTGGAAAGGACCTAAGGTGACATCTAGTTCAATCTCAACCAGTAAAAGGATCCCCATTACAACATACCCAGTGGTGTGCTGGTCAAAGTTTAACAACCAGGTCTTTAAAAGTTTTACACATTTTTAAGTTTAATTTTAGTGATTAACATTTTCTCCATCACTTTAAGTCTGGACAATCAACAAAACAATACCTCAAGTCCTAATTTGCAGCATTTGCTGATTTCCCAGGTATAAATGCTCACATTGAAAATTTAACATTTGGTTCTTCTATGAGCTTGTTCTATTATTATTAAACTTAATATTATATTATTTTATATTTATATTACATATAATATATTTTAATAATATAATTTATATTATTATATAATACATCATATCATTATATAATATATTATTTATAGTATTAGATATAATATATTATTTGTATTATTATATAAATTTCTTCTTCTTCTTCCTCTTCTTATTAAACTTTCAGGTCAGGTTTAAAAAAAATTATAGAATTACCATAGGACCATGGCAAAGGAGTTACTAGAGATAGCCAAGGGTTACTGTAAGGTTGGAAAAGACCTAAAAGGACAATCTAGAAAGACCAGAAAAAGGATTCTGGCTACAATGTACCTGGCTAATGGTCACCAGCCTCTGCTTGAAGACCTCACCTCCGATGAAGGGGAACCCATTACCCTCCTGAGAAAGTCTATTCCACTTTTGAAGAGCTCTAGTCAATAAGAAGGGCAGTTAGGTGGCACAGTGGATAGAAAGCTGAGCGTGGAGTCAGGAAGACCTGAGTTCAAATTTGACCTCAGATATTTAGTAGCTATGTAACCCTAGGCAAGTTGCTTAACTCTGTTTGCCTCAGTTTCCTCACTGGTAAAATGACCAAAGAAGGAAATAGCAAACTACTCCAGTATCTTTTCCAAGAAAACTCCAAATGGGATCATGAAGAGTTAGAAACAACTGAGCAACAACAATAAGAAAGCCATTAGGAAGTTTCTCCTTATGTTAAACTTCTTTGTACCCAACCCCCCTTAAAGTACCAACAGTTTGAAAAAACAACTTTAACCAATTTTATGGAAATCTTTCTAAAATGGGGTAAACATTTCCCTATTTTCTTAAATGGAGAAGACTCAACACACAGCCCTTTTTTTTGATAGCTCAGGGTCATCTTTATAAATAATGTTTGTTCTACTCTGAGGCCTACCGAGATTTGTAGCAGAGATGTTGGCTCTGTCAAGAATCATTGATATTTAAATAGTATTTACTTCACATACTTTCTTTCATTTCAGCTATATAATAACTGCAAGATGGGCATTACAGGTATTTATTAATCCCCATTTTAAAGATGAGAAAATACATTTAACAAAACTAGAAGATTTACCTAAGGTCACAGAGTAAATATCAGATGAGCGGTTTCCTGACTCCAAGATCAGCTCTCTGTCCACGAAGCCACACTGCTTCTGCTAAAAGATCCCAGACTCTTAGTTTTCTCGAGTTTTTCAAATCTGCTTTGTATGTTTTTTTGGTTTCCTTCTTTGTGGCCTGTCAGCAGCTGCTTTAAAAACAAAACAAAACAAAAACATTTTGTCTGCCTAGAAGTTGTTCTTCCTCTATTAGAATCATAGAATATCAGAGTTTATTGGGATCTAGAAGGTAACTGGCGTAGCTCTAATCCAAGTGGTAGTCTTTTCTGTAACATTCCCCAAACTGGTCATCTGGCCTCCACTTAAGTTCTAGTGGTAGAGAACTCATTACCTCTCAAGGTAGCCAATTCAATTTTTTGGATAGTTGAAAGTTGTTTTTTTTTTTGTTTTGTTTTTCTATTCTATTTGAATTTATTTTAAACTTAAGAATAAGATAAGAAATAAGAAAAGAAATAAGAATGGAAATAAATAAGAAATAAGAAAATAAGAAAAGTATAAGAAAAGAAATGAGAAATAAGAAAATAAGAAATAGAAATAAGAAATAAGAAAAGAAAAAAAAATTGCCACATTCTGCTACAGTAGATCATGAGAGGATTCAATATAAAGCAATAAATTTCCATTTCAAGAAAACCTATATAATAAATATTATACACTATTCTCTAAGTTGTCCATCTTTTCTTTGCTTCCTTGTATGTTTTCTTTTGTCCTCCGATGTGCACTTTTTACTTTATTTTTTCCCCTTCCTCCTCCCTCACCACCAAGGCTACAATTAAATGCAGATACACACGCATACATATACACATATACATACACATACATAGATATCCATAAACATATACATATATACACATGTAGACTCAAGCACATATACATAAGATCATATTATACTTTTTTCCACTTATCATCTGTTTCTCTGTAGGTAGATAGAATTTTCCTTTATGAATCCAAGTCTTTCCATATTTTTCTAAATCTACCAGCTCATCATTTCCTACACCACAACAATGTTCCGACCCAATCATATTCTATCTGTGAGATGGTCTATGAGAGTTTTTTTCCCCAATTCCCTAATTTTTCTTCATTCCCTCTATTCTTGGCGACATAGGTTTTATTTATACAGGAAAATTTTCATTTAAAATAATCAAAATATCCATTTTATTCTTCAACACTGCTTTTACTTTGTAATATGGTTTAAGGATAGCTGAACATTGCTAAGAATATTTTCCTGCTACCAAGCCACTTTCTATAACTTTCACTTACTGTTCCAAGCTTTGTTTTCTGAAATGAAAAAACAAACAAAAAAACAAAACGCAACCCAAACCAAATCTCAAACAAGTCTAATTTATCTTTCATTTGACAGTCTTTCAGATACTTGTGACTAGAGTGTGAATGAGTGCAGGGAATCCGAGGGTCTGTGGTCACTCTGCCCTTCTCAAGAGGATGCCTTCCTATTAGGCCATATTGCTCCTTTCTTTGCCTGCCTCTCAACTGCACTGGTTGTCCTTTGGACAAAGCCAGATTGTGCTGGGGCTGGTGTTAGTGGCAAAGTTTGGTCACCCCCAGTCCCCCAATTAAACTCTGAGGAAATGGGCTATGGCTTACAGTTTTCCTTGGTCTCCTGTAATAGAGATCCCTGAATGAAGTAAGCATTCAATAAGCTGTTATCGATGATTGTAATCATAATTCAAATGTTTCCTATCAAACAGACCTGTTTCCAACTGTAATCAATTAAAGTGGCTCTATCTCAGAGTTTGGATCTGCAGGGCCTCTTTGGCCAGTCAGAACTTTGAAGTCAATTTAGTTTATTGATACTTTGTAACTATTGGTTGATTGCTCTCCCTCCTCAACTCCATCTACTGACTTCCCTGGCTTCATGTCTCAATTAAAATCTCAGCTTTTACAGGAAACCCTTCCCAACCCCTCTTAATTACAGTCTCTTCCCTCTGTTAATTATTTCCTAATTATCTTGTATGTAGTTTGCTTTGTATATATTAGTCTGTATGTTGTCTCCCCTATTCAATTGTGAGCTCCTTGAAGGCAGGGACTGTCTTTAGCCTCTTTTTCTATCCCTTGAGCTTAGCATAGTACCTGACTCATAGCAGGTGCTTAATCAATGTTTATTGATTGACTGTAATTCATCACACACTATAGCTAGCAAATTCTGACTTCCTGCTGTCTAATCTCTAGGTTTTGGAGCCACCTCCTTCCTAATTGAAAACTCCTTTTTTCCCTGTTACCTCTTATCTCTATCCAACTAATCCCTAATGCTTCCTAGTCCTCATTCTCTGCATCCTTCTCTTTCCACTATGGCTTCCTCTATCGTTAAAACAACAACAAGCTTTATCTTACATCTATTTCTCTCACATTCCTTCCAATTTCTGGTACCTCCTGAGGCCCAGCATTTTCTTGGAATCACATCTCCCCAACGGTTGCTTCTGTCCTGTCACACACCTCCTTACATGTGGCCAGGAAACTCATCTGGTATATCCTTTATCTTTACTTTCAGATCCTCTCTCTGCCTCTATCTCTCAGCAACTACCTCTCCATTTTTATAATTCATGTCTGGATCTTGGTTGTCATCTGTGGACCTTGACGTCACTCTTCTTCTGCCAAAGTAAGTTCAGGATCTGGTTCACAGTTTTCTCCTCGACCCTAACTCCTGCTGTCCTTTAACACCCTAACCTCCTTATTTCTCAGACTCCTCACTTACCATGACTTTTGTTTCCAGTCTATGTCAACCATAGGAATGGTCACTCAGCTATCCTCCACACTCATCTGAATTTTTCCTGGGTGCTGGAATGGATAGTTGCTGCTCTAAGTTGAAGAGGCACTGTGGTAGAGTACTGGATTAAGAACCAGGAAGATCTGGGTTCATGATCCAACCTCTGCCTCCCAGTGTGACTATGGGTGAGACGCTTAACCTTTAGTTTCCTCATCTATAGAATGATAATTATACATATTAGTATTTCTCTTATAAGATCATTGTGAGTGTTAAGTGAGATAATATAGATAAAGAACTTTCCAACTTTTAAGTGTTATATAAATGTCCATTTATTATTTTCTTCTCCAGGCTAAGCACTTCCTAGGTCCTTTGAGCAACTGTCATGTGACATAGTTTTCAGTCACACCTCACAGACTTAGTTCTCTGGGCACAGTCTAATTTGTCAGTGTTCTTGAATTGTGGCAATCAGAAGTGAATGTTTTCTTCCAGAGGCAGCATAGTACTATGGGGAAATGTTGGGTTTATAGTCAGAAGCCCTGGATTCAAATCCCACCTCTGATGCTACCTGTGTGACCTTGGCAAATCATGTAATCTTTTTGGATCTTAGGTTCCTAATTAGACTGCAGGATTCCCAAAATTCCATTCAGCTCCAAATCTATGAACCTCTGAAAGATGTGGCCTAACCATAGAATAGTACAGCTGAACTAAAAGAACCTTCCTCATCCTGGCATTATGTTTCTATCAACACTGCTCAAGATCTCCTTAGTATTTTTAGCTGTGGTATCATGCTAATAATTCATATTGAGCTTGAAGTGCACATAAACCCCCAGGTCTTTAAAAAAAAAGTTTTGTTGATGTTCTTTATTTTTAAGACCATAGCTACTCCCCAGATATCCCATTCCTACCTTCACCTAGTTCTCTGGTTCCACAACCAGTAAAACCTTCTTTTGTAAAGAACAACTATAGTGCAGCAAAACATGTCAATCAATTTTTGACAAATTTGACAAATGTATCAGTCAATTTGACAATCAATTAATCAATAAACATTTATTAAACTGTGCTAAAGCCTGTCTGATTCCAAACCAAATCTGTCACCTCTTTCCCAAGAAGTGGGAATCATGCTTTTTATAGTCTTCAGGACTTTGCCTCATGAACTATCTTCTAGTTATATTTCCCTAAACTATACTTGAGTAGTTAGTTTTTTAATTGGCATGCAAGATTTTACATTTATTTTTATTAAATTTCACCTTACATCTTGTTCTCATTAGATCTGGCTTGTCATTTTTCTTAACATCCTATTCAATCGATTTTAATTTGCTACTTCTAATCTGCTGTAGGCTTGAAAATCAAGAGTTGTCAGAATTGTGGGTATAGTAGGAGTAACTAGGGTCTGAATGAGAGCCTGAAGGTCTCGTGAGGATTCTATTTCAAGGGTTTAAGGCTTTACTAATTTTGATCACCTTCCCAGAAATTCCAGATTCTTCTTGGAGTAGATTCAGGAAGCTTTTGCCCTTTAGTTCTGGATCTTGTTGAGTTACCTGGATTCAGAGACACTGGCCTCCTTATTTTACCACATACAGGACATGCCATCTTTTGGCTCTGAGTATTTTCTCTAGCTCTCTCCCATACCTGGAACACTCTTTATCCTCTGTTCCCACTACTGACCTCCCTGGCCTCCTTTAAGTCTCAACTAAAATGCTGCCTTAAATAGGAAGTCTGTGGTGGCTCAATGGATAGAGTGCTGGGCCTGAAGTCAGGAAGACTCATCTTCCTGAGTTCCAATCTGGATTCCAACACTCACTGTGCTACCCTAAGTAAGTCACTTAACTCTGTTTGCCTCAGTTCCTCATCTGTAAAATGAGCTGGAGAAGGAAATGCAAACCACTCTAGTACTTTTGCCAAGAAAGACCCAAATGGGGTCACAGAGATTCAGATATTACTGGAAAGACTAAACAACAGTAACAATAGAAAACCTTCCCCAACCCCTCAATTCCAGTACCTTCCTTTTGTTAATTATTTCCTATTTTCCTATATATACCTTGTTTATAAATATTTGTTTAGTTGCCATCTTCCCCATTAGCTTGTGAGCTCTTTGAGGACAGGAACTGTCTTTCACCTCCTTTTCTTTTTTTAATCTCCAGAGCTCAGCATAGTGCCTGCCACATAGTGGATAGTTAAATGTTAACTGACACAACTGATATCTAATTGCCTTTCACCCTTTCTTCCCCCATTGCTAATATAACTGCAAATTTTGCATCTGGTCTTCCCCTCTGTCCTGATTTCCCTACTCTATCATATTATGCTACAGACCATAATGAATGATTTCCTATGGTTTATTATAAGAAATTTCATTAGGACATTTACCAGAATCATGGAGGATGTCTTGTGTAGAATTCAAACTGGTCTTGT